AGAGAGGAGGAAGTCAAGCTGTCGCCCTCGTTTGCGTCTCCAACTTGTCTCTTCGCTGACATTTTCTTTCCGTTGATACATTTTTAGTGTTGTGTCGGTGCTCTGTGAAACGGCAGTCCAGGGCTGATGGATGGCGCACCAGATTGCACAGGACTTGCGCACGAGCCCGGCACATTAAAGCCTGCGTCTTTGTGTGTGAAACATGACTCTGTGCTACTGCTGCAGAAGGCCGGTGCAAACTGAGCAAAGGGGGATAAGAACTGGACTGCTGTTCTACTAAACAAAAACTTGTCCTGAAAAAAATGAATTGCTTGCACATGGGCAGGAAATGCACAGCAGGGGTTGACGGGAAATCTTGCGTAGATTTTTTTTTGTTTGTCGCCAACCAATAACCCTCCGAACCTCTCTTACCTTTCTGCCTCTCTGAGCCAGGTTGGCTGTGCAAATCCATTTGATTGAGATAGCAGTGTTATTATGGTAAATAAAGGGTTTTCTAATTCCTTTTCTCCCCTGTTATCAAACGCCATGTGTTCATTTTGTGCTAATATCCAACATTGATAGAACGATTGCGCATGAACACCTGTGATTGTTGTGTTGAGCACATGAGCAGGTGTGGTGAACATATGTTTTCGTGTCTATCTGGAGAAAAAAAAGAAAAAACACCCGTGCACCTGCATGGAGTGTGACCTGGTTCTGTCCAATAAACCAATAAACACAAGCGTGTTGTCACTAGCAACCTCTTTGTTAGCAACCCCATACAGAGAAGCACTGCTCGGGTATTGTGTTTCCTGCTCTGAAGGGTCCTAGGGGTGATATTGTTTTTTCTCAATTCATTTTTAACCTTTACAATAACTGTAGGTGCAGATGTCTCATAGATTTCAAAGATTATTAAATAACTAACCAGACAGTTTACAAACCTTTTTTTAACACGCTTGGCTTTTTCTTAATTATATTAATATTATTAATTAATTAATACATTTTCCATTAATATCGATATCTTTGATCATTACCTTAAATATTACATTACATGTCATTTAGCTTGCATTCAATCATAGGGATACAAACTCAGAAGCACAAGAAAGTGCAATTTCATCAAATAAGCCAATTTACAATTTGCTATAGATAAGTGGCGTCATAAGTACAATTTAAGTGCTACAATTTGTTAGTCTTTTAGTCGAGGTGGAGTCTGAAGAGGTGTGTCTATAGTTTGCGGTGGAAGATGTGAAGCCTCTCTGCGGTCCTATAAATAAGTCTCTCTTCTAATTTCTGATGATCCATCCATCAATCCGTTATCTCAAACGGTCCTGTTCGGGGTCCCGGGGGGGGGAACTGGAGCCGATCTGTCTGACACATAGACAGACAACCGTTCACGCCTACGGCCGTTTGGATGGAGCTGCGTGTCTTTGGCCTGTGGGAGGAAGCCGGGGGGGGAAACTCACCACGCTGACACGAGGAGAACGTGAAACCTCCACACAAGGGCTGTTCAGCAAAACAGACCTAGATCCTGTTGAGGACCGACTCTATTTTGCTTCTCTGCTTTCGCGACATGAAGCACGACACAAAAGACTGTCGCGCAAAGACCCACAAAACACCTTCGCGCGCACACTCACACACGACTGTGCGCTCCGCAGCATTCTAGCCGATAAGCCCACCAGGGGCCCCCCGGCGGCGACTCGGTAAAGGCCAGTCGGCCCTCGTCAGTGTTAGCTGCTCATTGCTGTGGTTTCCCTGGAACGAGACCGCCGCGAGCAAACCAGGTCAAAGGTCGACGCGCCACATTCGCACGCACAAAAACTTGCCTTTCACAAGCTAGGCCGTAATTCTAAGCCAGCAAGTGAATCCGCAAATGTACCAAAATGTCAAACTCTTACTGGAATAATGCGTTTCTTTGTTGTTGTTGTGATATCTTTAATGCTGTTCCATTTGCTGCAAATGGAACAGCATTTACATAAGTGACTGACTGAAATGGGAATGAACCTTTTTTCACATCTTTTCTGGGTACTACCTTCAGCGGGGCAGGTTTGGCCGGTGTCCATGTTCCATTCCCGTACACGCACTGTATGTTCCGACGCAGAAACTGTTGACTCAGCGCTCTAAAAACATCAGGCGGAACAAAGACAGACTGTGCAGTGGAGAGGCACGTTAGGCACCTTACCAACCCCCGATGTTAAAAGTAAGCTTTAACAACTCAAGCATGCGCGCACGACTCCTGCCCCCTTCGTCCGTTTTTTCAGTAACTTCTTCTCAGATGCTGCACAAAAAAAAAATTGATTTATTTTGTGAAAACCTAACACATCGGGACAAGTGACAAGATGATGAGCGGGCAGGCGAGGGAGTGTGAGAGCCGGAGATGGATGACTAACTGGGGAGACGGTCTCCTGCCTCGGCCTCCGCTGGCGGCTCGGGCTTCTTCTCTCTAACTGGTTGTGACACCGCGGCTCGTGCGCGTCGCTCATCTCGGCTCCCGGCTGACGGGGCTGAATGTGAGTCCTCGGACTTCTCACTGCCCCCGTGTGCGCTCCTTATAACCGTCTACGCGCTCACTTCCTGAATGTAACAAAAAGAAAAAATCTCCCAGCCAACAATCTGACTCACACACCGCCTTCCCCGTCCATTCTGCAAGGTGTCCCACCGCCCCCCCCCCCCCCACCAGTGATCCATTTTTGGTTACATGGTTCGTTGTGCAAACAAACTTGACACAAGCGTAAAGGGAAACGGCGTCGATGGCCGCCTGCTGGTCCTCGTGAACGGGCCGGGCGGGTGGCTGAGGAACAATTAGTCCACCTTTAGCTCTGCACCAACAACACAGCCACTTGCTGTCCTTCTCATGACGCAGCACTGATTTAAGTAATACGTTAAACACATCTTTGTTATTTGAGAAATTCACTGAGAGAGCAACTGGTCTCAGCGAGGCCAAATAGTCTACAGGACCATTGGTTTGACGAGGCGAGCCGTCACCTTTATCGGTGTGCCGGGGTTTCAGAAATGTGAATATCAGAGGCTCGCTGGAACAAAGAGCTGCTTCACAGAAACAGGAAATAACAGCGACAAAGAGCCTGTTGATGAGAGGCGCAGATCTGCCTAATGAGAGCCACAGTTATATGTGCTGCTGTTGCTATTCAAATATAATGAAAAAGGCCCGTATTACCTCATATGCATGTTATGTATTTGACACCTCGGGCCATTTACCTTTGGTACCGTAAAAGCAGCCTTTGGACAGTGGCCTGTGGGGATTTAGCAGAAACTATTTGCTCCTGACTGGTGTTGAAGGTCCAGTATTTGAATGGAGTCATTGATGACCGTTGTGCTGTATGTTGGTTTGTGTTCCGGGTGTTTTACATCCGAAATAAAACCAATATCAAGAGAAACGTGAAAGGCTTCACGCGTCGTTTCCTTCATATGAAGAGTCAGCATTTTTCACATTGTGGTTTAAAGTTCGTGGTTTGGTTGAGTGTCTCCACTCCCTTCAACCTTGTTTCCAAGCAGCGGTTTTCACAGGAAAAGGTTTGGATTCAAACCCACTTTGAGGTACCAGAGTGGAACCAAAATTCAGATGGAAGACTTCTGATCACCAGCTCACCAGAAAAAAACACTTGAAACGCAAAATGTCTGCAGCTTGTTTTCCAAAATATTAAACTACAATTCAGTTCAGTCGGGAGTTTATTCACTTTTATGTACTTTCTTGTCTTCATGACGGAGGCTTTTTCTGCACGTTGGAAATCTGACTGAACCACTCTTTTTTTGTCTCACTCCCATTAAGCTGCACAATGCAGCAGTACATCCAATATTATGTATTTGGAAACGACATTACCCTTATTAGTTGTAAATGTCAAAGTGGCCATTTTACAGATACGTGAAATGTCATTTAGCTTCAGACCAGAACATAAAATGTCACTTCTTTACATTCACTCATGAAATGCCACAGATAGGATTTCTCCCAATTGTCGTGCGTGCGTATTAGTATAAGTATCAGAATCGATCAAATAAGATGAAATCCTACCAGTTAAGGTTGGTTGAGACACTGCAGGAGAAGAAAGTCCCTTTCCTCCTGGACCTACATTTAATGTGCAGGAGGACGAGGCCGACAGTGGACAGGGAACACGAGGACAAAAGTGGGACCTCTTCCCTGGGCTTTAATCATAATAATAAGAGTTCTCTGGTGTGTCATTTGGAGCTAGGTGGCACACAAATAGAAAAAAAACTCCATCCCCCCCCCCACTCCTCACATTCACACAGACGGGTGTTAACGCCGTCAGCCTTTGATGTCCTCCCCTGAGATAAATCACGGCTGGAGTCCGACCCAGTCTGAGTGCAAAGAGGTTCCTATCGCTGTGCAGCTGTGTGACGTTATCCACAGATAGATGATCGTTCCTCCCACAGTCGGCCGAATGCACCACAGGCCTCAGACGGTGTTCTAAAGACTTATGCAACCTCTTTTCAATCAAAGTCCAACTTTAAGTCAGCTGCAGTTTCTTATATCCAAGTGATGAATAGATTCGAGGATGAATCTTTGTCGGTGGAAAGAAACATCCGAGTCATGCGCGAGCAGTTCACGCCACAGCTGTGCTTTCATTTTCTCTGAGACGACTTTAAAAACTACCAATGATCTCGTTACAAGACAGCGAGTTGTGTTGTGTAAGACGAGGCTTCTTCTGGCACAAGTACAGTAGTTCTGTAAGGACGAGTCATGTCAGTGAAAACAGGAGAAGGGAAGAACTCTTTTATTGCAACGGGTCAACGGCGTTTCCTGTTGGTCCAGATGGAAACTGTTACATGTAAACATACTGACGTTTAACCGAGACAGAATTAAGTTCTACTTACTTCATAAGCACACAGCAATCCCATCTTGAATCTATTTATTTTCCTTGCGGCTTTTACAGAGTTACAGAGTTACCAGCGTTACAAAAGTCACGTTTGTTTTGCATCGGCTGTGCTAGCAAATGGAGAAACATTTGCGACCTTGAGGACTAACCCCAAATCTCTTTTTTTCCTCGCTTCAGGACAGGAGAGCTTTAACTCTCGCTCCCTGGCCCTGCAGGCCCAGAAGAAGATCCTCAGCAAGATGGCGACCATGGTGGTGGCCAACATGTTGACGGACGACACCAGCAGCGAGATCCTGGACGAGCTCTACAAGACGAGCCGGGAGTTCACCAAGAGCAAGAAGGAGGCCCACAAGATCATCAAGGACGTCATCAAGATCGCCCTGAAGATCGGCATCCTGTACCGCAACCACCAGTTCAGCCCCGAAGAGCTCGACACGGTGGAGCGCTTCAAGAAGAAGATGAACCAGGCGGCCATGACGGCGGTGTCCTTCTACGAGGTGGAGTACACCTTCGACATGGGCATCCTGTCGGAGCTCCTGCTGGAGTGCAGGGACCTGCTTCACAACCTGGTCGAGCAGCACTTGACGCCGCGCTCGCACGCGCGCATCGACCACGTTTTCAACCATTTCGCCCGCGGGGAGTTCCTGGTCGAGCTGTACGGGGACAGGGAGGAGTACAGACTCTCGCTGAGGAAGATCTGCAACGGCGTCAACAAACTGCTGGACGAAGGAACGCTTTAACCTCACACCTCTTTTCTCCTCTTTCTCCCGCTAGTCTTTCCTTCTCCCACGCTCCCACCCCTCCGACTGCTCACATCCTCCTCCTGCCCCTCGCTCTCGTCTTCCTGTTCCTTTATTCGCCCATTTCCATGAATCTGGCTGTAACATGCTGCTGCTGCTGCTGCTTTGGTTCAATGGGAGGATCCTTTTTTTTGTACTCTCTTTCCTCTCGGCGGGTCGTTGCTGCAGACTGGGACAGCCTGCGTCGTGTCGTATGCATTATAGCGTTCCCAGTCAACCCGTTTGTGTGCAAAAGTGTACTGTACCAATGGCCAAAAAACATACATTAGGTATAGTTGGATGTGGACGATAATCAGCAGTAGTTATCAGTCTCTCTCTCTTGGTGTGTGTGCGTGTGTGTGTGTGTGTGTGTGTGTGTGCATTTGTGCTTGCACGGGGTTCCCTTGAATAATGTGTTTGTACATAAGGCCCATGTGTGTGTGTGTATTATGTATCTTCTCTACAAGGGTGTAACACTTGTCTTTTATTAAAGATTTCTTTTAAACGTTATCTTGTCGTTTTTCCGACAACAAAACCACCTGTTTCAAGAGAGATGGATTTATTCATTTTGCGTTGGCCGAGTCATAATGATCATTTTCTTTCATGACTCATTTCTTAGACAACATGAAGGAAAACGGCGATTTGCTTTCAGAGAAATGCTCCAGATGTATTAAAACTAAAATGACCTTTTTTGGGCATAAACAGCTGCCATGACAGGAAATGTATGGGTGAAATAAGTGCACCACAAATGTGCATTAAGCTCCTGCCTCGCTGACCATTTCAGCCGTTTTGCCCACCAGGCAACAGACATTTGCCAACGATTATTTTGAAATGAGCAGGAAAATTAGTGATTTGTCATTTCTGCTTCATTACACGCCCTATGGTCTATTCTGGTCCCCGCTCCAGGAAAACATGTTACTGGTGGCTTGGTGGGACTCCAATCATTTTGGGACGCCAGAAGAGGAGATGTCTCCGTATCCTCTTAGGAACAAAACAAAACAAAACAGACCGACCACCCACCCTCTACGCCCCTATCCTCAAACGTTAAGTCAGTTGTATATATTCTAACCATTAATGTGTCAAACACATGAGTCACGAAGGACCAGAGAAGACAACGCACACATTGTCTCTTGTCGTTGTTCTGGGTTGACTGTCTTTTTGTCTCTTTTCTGTCCATCCTAAAGCAAAAAAGGGTCGGCATTCAACAGATATCGATCTTTATTATTTTTTAAGCTCTGAAAACTTCCCACAATAGATATTTACCATGTTAACAAACTGACTAATAAAGCCACATCTTCCAATACTGATGGCCCACGTTTGAAACAGTCTCCAAGGCCAGGTAAAAATAACCCTCAAGACATAATTAGGGGACATTTTCGCAGACTTGAAAAAAATAATTACAAAAAATGACAACTGTTTTCACAGGCTGAGGACTCGTAACGTTGTGGTGTTTTATGTGTAAAACCTAGTGGAATGCACCTTTAAAAATGAACAAAAAAAATAAATTATTGGAATTAAATGAGCTCCTATAGCAAGTATTTAAACTCAAACTTGACAGGAACACACGAACAAAACAAGGAACACATCTTCTCACACATAGACAGGGATGCAGGGAAACACATGGGGACACATGAACACAAATAGACAGGGACTGAGAAACCCTACGGACAGAAGGATCAGAGATCTGAAAGGAATCAGCAGCATCATCACTTAATGTCAGCTGGGGAAAGAGAGGCCTATTTGTTGATAACATCGCTGGCAGGTCACATGTTTGATCCCCAGGACATGTGACCTTTCTAAATGACCTTCAGGTACACAGGGAACTACTGGCCCATTTACTATTACCTGCCTGAGGTTAGAAAAGAAAAGAATAGCACAGCTGTACAAGAATTGTAAAAAAATGAAATTGACAAATGAGTGTTTACAGTAATTTTAACCACAACTGAGAAGATAAAATATATTTTAGAGGAAGGATGAGACCTTTTGAGCCTTATTCCCCTTTTCAGCCTCTCCTCCACTCCTCCACTCCACTCACATAGTGATGAAGCGTCTCATCACACGGAGGAATACTTTCCTGAATTCACATAAAATAGTACAAATAATATCCAAGGTGAGGTGTATGAAATTGATTCCATTATGTTATTTTTATTTATCGCAAAAGTGCTGGACCAATCGAACAAAGGACACACTTCCAATGGGACCTATTTGTATAAAAAATGTATTGTCGACACTTCGTTCTATAAGACCACAGCAATTTTTTAAATACCCTGATCAACTAAAGAGTCCGCTGCCTAGTGTTTGAAGAAGTCTGTAAATAGATGATGGAGCAAAAGCTTCCCCTCTTCAGAGCCACCGCTTCAGTCTCTGAAGTCCAACAAACAATTTTCCCTTGAGAAGAAGAGGAAATTCATGTCCTTCCATTGCTGCCTCGTCCTCCAGAGACAGACTCTGTTTAGACCCAAGAGCAAACCAAAGGGCCTTCACCAAGAACATTAAAGACAAAGAAATACCACGTCGTCAACAGTGCATCACTCAACCTCTCCCTGACAAACACACACTCAATTATTTTCAGATTTTGGGGATTTCCTTTTTTTTCGCCAATTTCAACTACTTGCAAGTCGGCTCAGGTGTGTCGAAATGCTGAGAAATCAATCATCGACCTTCCAGAAATACTGAGCAATATCTTAATGGTGAGTGGGGTTTTCAGAGATACGAGTTGTGTTGCTTGAGTCAGCGACTGAAAACTGGGCTGGAACTGCAACTGGGTTGTTGAGTTTGAAGTGAGGTTACCAGACTTTGTAGTCCTTATAGCCCTGAGTGCTAAAAGTGGAAAACAACACTTTACAAATATGGATCAAATCCAAATCCAAATATGAGGTGTGGTTACATTAAACTTTGTGGTATCTCGGGGTAAAACGTAAAGACTAAAGTAGATTTATTTTTACGATAGTTGCAACACAAAACAAATAAGACACGACACATAAATGTTTCACTTCCACGTCAAAATAAACAATCTCACAATCTTTGAAATTGGTATTTTTTTCAATAATTGATTTGAATCAAAAACACAAACATACAGATGTACTTAATACAAACCACTGTTGTCTTAAGTATTTGTATACCTTTTGAAATATCTTAGCTTTTGGGAGAACTGAGCAAACTTGGAGGTCGTGAGGAAGAAGGATATGGACAAAAGACATAGACAGGAATCGATGGACATGCTGGTCCTCCGTCAGCCTGTTCTCGGTTCTTCCATCGCTGTGTGGTTTGGATCGGACAGGAACCGACTACAGCGGATTATCGGGTCTGCAGAGTGGATAATCGGCTCCAGCCGGCCCTCCATCTTGGGCTTGAAGAGCTCCAGAGTCAGCAAACGGGCAGAAAAGGTCACTGAGGATCCTTCACGCACTGGACACAACCTTCTCCACTCCTCGCCAAAACCACAGGAACACCTTCTTCCCTCAGGCCGTCTCCCTGATGAGCAACTTATCAGTCACACTGCGCCCCCATTTGCACTTTACCTCAATGTCGCTGTTTATGTTGTATATGTTTAAGATATTTTCCTATATATATATGAATTACAAATACTTATATTTAAGTGTATATCTATATTGTATAGTTGTTAAATGTTTACGCCTACACCAGATTTTTTTTGTTGTACTTGTTTTTATATTTTTCGTTTTTCTTGTATGTACAGTTTGTGGAGAGCAAAGGACACACCGGAGTCCAATTTCATGTAGGCGTGCGTACGTGTACGATCAAACGATTAATCGATCTATTCGTTTGTGCTTCATCAATTAATGTTTCACATAACTAATGTGCCGCATCATACATATTTTTATATTAATTTCAAACTTTTCAAAATTGAAAATTAAAAACTTTTTGTTTATTTATTGCAAATGACCTCTCGCGGCCCATCTGCAGTACCTTCGCGGCCCACCAGGGGGCCGCGGCCCACACTTTGGGAATCGCTGCTCTAACAGATTCTCCCAGTGCGCTAAATACATTTTGTGAATATACTGCCATCGTGTGTTCACTGAACATATCACAGTATTTTGTACATATGTGGAAGTACTTTGCTTTTCAAGAAAATTAACTCCAGTTAATGATAATGAAAAATGAATATGTCATTTTTGTCGTTGTCGTATCGAATGGGAGAAATTTTCGTTGAACTCTGAACTACGGGTCTTCCTCCGTCTTTTTTGGCCACTCTGGGCACCCGTAACGTAAAGCAACGGCTCACTTGACGGCAGTCGCCCAAAAGCAGGCTACTGGGACAAGGCTAACATAAGATATGAACTCCCTGGAACAGGCCGAAGGTAACCAAGACATACAATGCGTATGTTTTAACCCCGTAGCCGTAATCCCCTGAATAACAAAGAACCAACGCCTTAACAGAATAATTCAACCTCCAGTTAATCTATCGTAAACCTTTTGTAAGACACTTAGCATTGGTGCTAGCTCAAAACACAACGTACGCTTTTAAGCTAACACACTATCATTGTTCCATATCATTTATGTTTAAACAATGGCACTCGTTTGGAATGTGTAACCGGCGTATTTAGCCACGTTTTGTTCTTTCTCCTGCTAACTTTTACATGTTTACACTGGCGTAAAACATCCGCACAGTGACACAAAACCCAGCTTTCGACATTTTTACCATCTTGACCTTTGACGTCACACAGCCACGGTGTTGTCCAAATACGGTGTTTTAATTGTGTCCATTTGTTTGTGTTTCAGACCTGAAGGCCTTTGAGAGAAGATTGACAGAATATGTCTCTTGTTTGCAACCTGCAACGGGAAGGTGGAGAAGTAAGTTCAGGCGCTGATGAAGTAATCACAGGCTTGTGTCACCAACAGTATTGAAACTTACTTTATAATGATTTGATGAATGATTTGACAAATCTGGTTCCATGTTGTTGATCTGCTTGTCATTCTCCTGTTCTTGCTGCAGTGATCCTGATAGTGGTGTCTGTTTGTACGGCTACTGGGGCTTGGAACTGGTTAATAGACCCGGACACACAGAAAGTGAGTATTAGTGGACAAACATGTCCAACATGTGTGCCGTGTTTTGGGCTTTACGGTCAGCTATCACAAAGAGGATATACATGTATACATAGTGCTCTTATTATTGACCATTACAATGTGAGTAATGTCAGTATTTGCCAACAGCTGTAAAGACGAGGCTTATCCTTCTCACACTGGAAATACAGCAATGAGACAATACATTACATCATCAGTTGACAATTGTTTTACGGCTATTAACATTGACTCAGCGGACAGCGGGATGAAATATTACAAATCTGAATATGAGGGCTTACAGCTGTGAACTACGTCGCACCAAAGCCAATCCAGGTGTCCGCTGAGTTTCTTTACATTACATGTCATTTAGTTTCGCAGTCTATCCAAAGCAACTTACAATAAGTGCATTTCCACCATAAGGATAACAACAAAGTGCAATTTCATTAAATAAGCTGGTTTACAACTTGCTATAGATAAGAGCCATTTTAAGTACAATTTGTTAGTCTTTTTAGTCAAAGTAGAGTCTGAAGAGGTGTGTCTTTAGTTTGCGGCGGAAGATGTGAAGGCTCTCTGCGTTTCTCTTAAGCAAAATAGAATGTCGATGGAGGAATCAAGACTGGGGCTATTTTTCCCAACTTCAAGTAAAAGTAGCAGTCTGCTTTGTATATGCGCTCATTGAAGAGCTGCACCTAATGGTGATAAAACTTTTAAATGTGGCTACGGGAGCTGGGGAATGTGTTCCTCATGGAGAAACTAAGTCAACACTATGTCAAGTAGAATAGAAAATGTGGCAACCTTTGCATGGCTTTAAAGTAACTTCATCTGTTGTAGCTTTTGTCTGCAACGAGTCCACAAAAATGTATTTTGTTCCTCATTTTATTTTTGATTTTGATTTCCTAAACTGACAATAAATTATTAAAAAAAAGTGGAAAGCTGTGTTACTGACCTAACAACCTGTGTTGCTCTGCAGGTCTCTTTCTTTTCATCACTGTGGAATCATCCCTTCTTCACCATCAGCTGCGTCACTCTCATAGCTCTCTTCTTTGCCGGGATACATAAACGAGTTGTGGCACCATCAATGTATCCTTTTGTCTGCCGCAGATTATATAAGATAGCAGGTTTTAATAAAAAACATAATATAATGAACGTTGCTTTTACATCTGTACTGACAACACACATCTAATCCCAGCCATTGACTGGAAAGTGTGGAGCATGTAGGAATTCAACTTTCACAACTGATTCATCCTTGTTCCCGTTTTCTTCTGTCTGACACGTTGAGCTCTTTGACGTTTGCGCCTTCAGTATTGCTGCCCGCTGTCGAACAGTTTTAGCCGAATACAACATGTCCTGTGACGACGTGAGTTTACTGGTCTTTTTGATGTTATGACTTTTAATTTGATCGGACAACTTTTTGTAATTATTGGCTTGTAAATTCCATCTTCTTGCAGACAGGGAAACTCATCCTCAAGCCTCGACCGAACATCCAGTAACCACGAGCTGGCGTGAGGAGGCGGGACAGACTCGGCGCTTGCTAATAGCCACGATCATTCGTCCTGACTGCAGTCTGAACGGCACTGAGGCGGACATTGTCATCACCGTGGAAATGTATTTGGAAGCGACAGAAGACATTAATTTATAGGGTCTTTTAATTGGCTCACTGTGCTGATGCCACAATTGAAGATGAGCTCAGATGTGTTTATTTCTGTTTCTGATCCTGAGCATGTATTTTAAATGTTTCTATTTTTTAAAATGCTTTACCAAATAAATACTTCAGTTGCAAAAAAAAGACAATTTGTCTCCTGTGGTTTATCTAGCGATCCCTTTAAACGAGCAATATCTTATCGTGGCTTTACATTCGTGTTGTTGCGTCCCGGTGGTTTTGCGACAGCGTCTCTTTCCGTTACCAACGAGCCCTTTACGGCAGGCAACACTTCCACATGGACTCCAACCAGCCTCGAGCTTTAGCCCGCGTGTGTGTGTGTGTTGCGTCGTGGTCGCGAGGTCTGTGTCGGAAACAAATAAGTGCTGAAAATGGGTAAAAGTAAAACCACCAGGTTTAAACGTCCCAAGTTCAACGCAGTCGGACTGCCGGCGGAAGCTGTGAAGGAAGCGGACGCCGAGGACGAAGAGCGCGGGGACGATAGCTGCCCTGCCGCGGAGCTGCTGGAGAAAGTACGACCATTATTATTTATAGCTCCACTAAATCTCTGCTGTCGAGTAGTGTCGTATCCCCGCATGGCCGATAGGCATGCACACGCTTTAACGACAAACTAAACATGAAAAGCAGTTTTTTTTAGTTGATTTTTAATCAATTCACTGATCAGAATGTATTTGTTGTTATTTCACTGTAAATACCCGATGTCTCGCGCGTGTCTCCGTAGTTGCAGAGTCCCAGTGCCGACGTGCGGGAGTTCGCCTGCGCCAGCATCTCCCGGGTGGTGCAGCAGAGTCAGACCATCCCGGTGTTCCTCCAGCGGGACGCGATCCGCCGCCTGGGGCCCATGCTGATGGACACCAGCCTGGCGGTCCGGGAGACGGCCGCCGGGGCGCTCAGGTGAGCCGGGGCTGCGGGCTGGAAGGTGTCAATATTTACATGTAAATATTTTGTCATGTCGCCGTGCTACAACAAAAGGAAAGCAAGTGTGTTCATTGATTTTTATCACTCTTTTTTTTATCACAGGTTAGAAACGTTTCTACACTTATTTCTGTCGTCTGTGTTCTTTAATGTGGTGACCTGATCACCCCCCCCCCCCCCCCACGGCTCCCCGGAAAAAAAAGTCATGGGTTAAAAATGCAATGTAAGTCACTTAGGATAAAAGCGTCAGCTAAATGACCTGTAATGTAATTTAGTAACCGTCCTTAAACTAACCCCAAAAAGTCGGCCGTCATCAGCAGTGATGACATTTGCCAACAGTTAGTCATCCCCTCTTCCCAGACAACACTCACTTTGTCTCCCAGTACGACCGAAACATCCATTCCGACTGATCTCTCGCCACACACAGGATGGCAAAATGAGTCAGACGCCCCCAAGCTCGCGCCTCTCTCTTACACAGTGTGTGTGTGTGTGTGTGTGTCTCCCTGACAGGAACCTGAGTGCATGCGGGGGTCAGGAGGTGTGCGAGGACATGGCGAAGCACGACGTCATGACTCCTCTGACAGCGCTACTTCGAGAGGTGAGACACGGCCCCGTCGCCCCGACCTCACGCTTCGGGTTCCCCCTCGTTGCCGCTAAAAATGCCTCCTTGAACCGCGGCGAAACAATGCGTGACGTCGACCGCTTCCTGTTTCGCTCGTCTGCAACGCCGTGTTGTTTCTCCGCCTGCAGAGCTGTGCTGGTTTCGAGAGCGCCGCCGAGGCGATGACGGACAAGAAGAACGCCGTGGAGGACGTGGCCCACGAGGCCGTGAACCTGTTGTGGAATCTGTGGTGAGCCGTTGTCGTTTTCTACGCCTCACGCCCAGCAGAGACGCCTGCGTGTTGTCTTTCTGTGCGCGTTGGTCTGACTGTCACTTTGGGATGTCCTTCCAGTGAGAGCAGCACTCAGTCGCTGTCTGTGTTCAACAAAGCGGGTCTCCTGGATTTGGTGGTCCAGTGTCTGGAGAGACACCCACACAACATTGAACTGGCCACATCAGCCGGTAGGAATAATTCGTTTGCTCTTCTTTTGCAACTATAAAAGCGCATGTGCGCTTCTTTTTAATGATGAACCTCATTTCCTGTACCAATGTCGCAACGGGGGACTTCTCCCCCTGCCGGCACTAAAGTGAAGGTACCTTCAAGCTCCGTTGGCATCTAGATTCCCGCTGACATCACCGGCTGCCAGTTTCGGACCTCTGAAAGCGCTACAGAGCTGTTCCCTTTATGTGCTGATCCCCTTTGTGTTCGGGGCCTCGTACACAAAAGGAGCCGTGATGACATTTGAATCACAGCTCGTCACAAGGGGGGATTTTCACAATAATACTCTTACTGGTAGAATTTCAAGATATCTATGACTTTGCTGCTAGTCAAAATGACTTTCCCGACATCATACCGTAGAAATGTATCAAGGGACCTTTTTAGTATTCAATAGCAAAATTGGATGTATGGCCGGTATCTGTAATTCGATTATAATCCAAAAGAATGTTCAGATGGCCCCAATTTGCTGTTTTAAATATCCACTACATAATTCTTCCCGGGAGTGTTATTTGGTATCCAAAAACAAAACATTTGTGAATGAATAGTAATCATTCAATTATTCATTTTTTATATCTTAAAAACTTCACTTTTCCAACTGTGAATACCAGTAATTACATTTTGACACATTTTAGATATTTCAAATTGTATCATGGATATCAGGAATCAGGAAACATTTATTGCCAAAATATATCAAACATACAAGGAATTTGTCTTGGCGGTTGGTACGTGACAGTAGACAGTCTAACAATAGACATGCAATTTTTCATTTTAAATATCTGAAATGGGAGTTTCATATGATGTAATACTCATGTTGATTAGGAATTTGCTGAATGGGTTTATCCAGTATAGCTACTAAATGTTAACATGTGGGGTTGAATTAATACACATTCGCCAATAGTTTGGCACGAATCCTTTGTGACTGGCAGGTGGCAGTAATGTGTCAACATTTTTCATAAAGGGGAAGAATTCAAATGTATTTAAACAATACTGGATTGGATATGCTTTGAAAACATTATTATTATTATTATTATTTATGAGAAAATAAATGCAGAAAGCCAATGCGCTCTAACACACAGGTTATGAATGTTACATGAGACATCCGAGCGCTGCAGATGTTTATCTCTGTGCTGATAAAACCCCCAAATATGTCAACAAACAACTCCAAGCTACGTTGAGAATATGGCAGCTGAATAACAGTCAGCCGGACGTGAGCCACATTCTGCATAACCGGCTTCTGGCTCCAGGTTAATACACACAAAGCATCGGCACCTGGATTTCCCACAACGGGCAGATTCTTTTTCAAAAATCGTAATATTATTTTTGTGACCGAGGCTTAAAAATCCAGCTATTTTGGTGTTTAGTGAGTCGCCCCTCTCTGTGTCTGGCAGCCCACTGTCTGCAGACTGTGACGGAGGACAACCCGGAGCTGCTCTGTAGCCTGAACGCCGCTGTGCTCGGAGTGGTGGAGGGCGTGCTGCTGACGTCTCAGCCCGACATGGCGCACACTCTCCTCAGGACGTTGGCTGCAGGTGCCGTTTGTCTTTTTACTTCTATTTCTGTTTTTAAATCTAAAAGCGTCGCTCAGAAGTGTCCCTCGATAGCCGCACACCAGTTCGAAGGCGCCTGTAACTCCGGCCACGCTGTGTCACTCAGGGACTCTGTGGAACGTGAAGGGCAGCTTACCTGCGGCCCGTCAGGCCCAGACGCTCAACGCCGTGGTGGCCACCTTGTCCAAGTGCCTGGATCTGGACGCAGGAACGCTGATACCTGAACTGAGACAAGCAGAAGAGGTTCGTCACAGAAATGCCCCCACTGGGGCGAACTCTGAGGACCAGGCTGTGGTGGAGATGGACGAGCAGCAGGAGGAGGAGGAGGAGGAAGGACCGAAACGCAAGAGGAATGGAAAGGCTGTGAGGGTTGATAACGACTTCTCTGACCTCCTGCCTGTAAGTGGTGTCTGTAGTTATGTGCTCTTCAAGTCAAGCGCCGTAAGAGAGATCCATCAGAGACATTATGCACCCTGTGTCCCTTTTCAGTCCAAAGCTTCCTTTCACAGTAAAAGTGTTCCTTTATGCATAGAGTGGCATCATTTCCCACTAACTCATTAACATCAAGTACCAATTAAATGGCCGCGAGTGTTGAGACAGTGTCTCAGTTGAGTGTGGAAGACAACGAATAAGAGAACATACATAAATGACCGCTTAAGCCGATTGGAACTGTTTTTCAACATGACTGTTGAGATTTATTTATTTTTATGTAAACATTTTTTGGCCACATAGTCCCATCATTATATTCAAGAGAAGGCAGTCATCTCGCTCCACAACAGAGAGAAGGAGCGAGGCATACAGATGCCTTTTCAAGTAAAAACTCTTAACAAGCTGACACAAATTGAAGAGGTTTACCCGCCGCTGCAATGTCCATTTCAGGGCGGGATGAGGTGTACGTCAGCATGGCGACAGCGTGACCCAGTCTCGCGCGTTGCAGGAGTGGATGCTCGGGGAAATGCTGACGTATGAGTCATCCGTTGTAGTGGCGGCCAGACGGAGCGAGCAGACAACCCGTCGGGGTTGGGGGGGGAGGGGTGTGATTGGGGACACGTGGTTCATCTGGGGGTCACGCTCCTAGCTTCCAGCGCGCTGGCAGACCCCAGACCTGACCTCGGCGAGACAGAGCTGTCCCTCTCATCTCAGTCCCGGCCGGAGCCCCAGGATCTTTTTCCGGGGCGACATTGTAGGTCGCACAATGAGGGTTGACTTGATCGCGGCCTGTGTTGTTTTTATAGTTAAGTCGGCGAAAAATAAAATTAAAAAAAAATAATTAAGGGCAGTGATTGTCTTTCACAGTGCTGCGAAACTAACCCCGGCCCCCGGTTGTCAAAGCGCTGCACATGCCGCAGTCCACATCGTCTCTTTGTGCCGTGCAGCTGAACTGGGATGTGCGATTGCGGCGCTAACAGTCCTCGTTTTGGTACGACGTCGACTCACCCGCCTGCTTGTTTTTGTCCAGAGGGACAAGGAGGAGCTGAAGGAGGCCACGGCCCTGCTGACAGCCCAGCAGATGTCCTTGGAGATCATCGTCAACATGTGCTGCTCCGACGGTGAGTGTTGTGGACACGGACAGCAGCGCTGACCGCAGGCCCTTTTTTTTTCCCCTCATTTGACAAGAGCGAGCGCATCAGGAGGGCCATTATGTCGAGAAATGGACCCTAATGAGTTCATTTGCAGTGCATAGGAATGCCTTTGTCACCCTGCATTGGTGGCATTTGTTCCGGATAAACTTGTCCTGACGTGTTTGTGGCTTTTTAAAGATCCTTCCGACGACGAGTGGGAGGAGGAGTCGAGCAGCGACGAATGCGACGCGGGTCCGGATGGCCTGTGTGAAGGAGTGTGCAATCTCATGTCGCCACTGTGTTTGTCTGCCGAGGTGCACGAGGCCCTCGTCCAGCACAGCGTCCCACAAAAGGCAAATACCGTCCCGCTTCGTCCTTCACACCTGGCGTGGGCCAATCAATGGCTACAGGAAAGCAAGGCGTTGTTTAGACAAGCGGAGGAATTTAATTAACTACGGTCGTGATTATGCGATGATCCTCGGCCGGCTTCTCCCTGAGGCTGAACAGGTCGAATTGCTTACCTGAGCAGTGTGCGAGGAACCTGTTATGAAACCCCACTAAATGGTAGAATGATGAAACTTTTTTTTTCTTCTCTTGCTCGATTCAAGGTCCTCAAAAAGACTGAGTTCCCCAGAAAGGAAGCTATGGACGTGTGCCAACAGATTCCCTCCTGGAGAGGCCTGATAAAAAAGTAATCCCCTCTCTCCTCGTCCTGTCTTTAACTCGTCTGTCAGATAGAAATGTGTGTATCTGAGTCTGTACAGCTCGATTACTTGTTTGAGTGCCGGAATCCAGCAACGTATATTTGTGCCAGGAAATCCTTTCCTGTGTGCCAGTGATCTTTTTACGGTCGGATAAGCCACTTGCACGGTGAGAATGGAGTCAGAGTTGAGAAACGACCGTTTGGTTGTTTCATCTTTCGATGCAGAAGCTAAATGGTCGTCAGGCGATTTACAGATTTGGTTCCAAGGCGGCGGCGACGACGACGTGCAACCAAAGCCTCTTTTCTTCTGTGCTTAAGGGTGCAGCGGGTGCAGTCCCGGGCGCTGACGTGCCTGCACAGCATCCTCTCCGCCATGGACGCCGAGTCTCTGGGAGGAGCGGCGGCCCTGCAGGAAGCAGCTCAGCACCTTTCCACGCTGGTTTTTGGAGCAGCAGGTCTCACGTTTCTCACTTGTAACGGAGCACATTTCAGTTATTACTGAAACACACTTTCAACTCGAGCTAGAGACAACAGAGAGAGCACAAAATATTCCCAGTAGACAAATTGTATTTGTATTCCTGGAGTGATCGGCTGCAGCAGTATAGAGTTGCACCAAAGGCATGTGACACGTCAGTTCAATGAGGTCAATCTGCTTTCTCGTGTTTCAGAGATCCCCAAAGACGAGGAGTTCCTGGAGGCCGTCATAAGCGCCATGCGGTCTTTGTTGCAGATGATTGCCTCCAAAAATATCTCCCAGGTACAGAAAGCTTTGGTATTTCCTTTGAGGGATTTTTTTTAATTATTCATTCATGTGTCATTTTTAAGGGTCACTTTGTCAATTTGGTATCGCACCTCAGTAAAGTCAAGATGGAATCAATAGATAAAGGAGAGAAATATAATGAACAACATCTATGCAGCAGATTTTAGTTCCTTGGATGCAACTCGATAGCATCCTTAGCCATAATTGAGACACCCGGACGGACGCTGATGACATCACCAGAAGTGACTTGAGTGGAGCTAAATTAGTGCATGTTTGCTGTGTGAATAAACCCAGAGGCAACATGGAAGCCAGACTTTGTTGTCGCTGCCAGTTGGCACTGAACCCTGTCGACCACGTAACGGTTGCTTTTGTCTTGGTCAGTGTATGACCCCCCAGCAGCTGATGAGTCTGAGCGAAGCTGCCACCCGCTGCGACGTCGTCAGTGTGAGAGTCAACGCCGTCGCCATTTTGGGCATCACTGGCAGCACGTTAGCCAAAGAGAAGGACACGGCTGAGACCCTCCAGGTAGAGTCTTCCTCTCGGGTTCTCCTGTTTGAATATACGTGCTCTCCCTCTAAGAACCTCTGCTCCCACAGATGATTGGAAACGCCTTGCTTCAAGTGGCCACAAAGGACACCAACCTGGTTGTGAACGGAGAAGCCCTGGACGCCCTGTTTGATGTTTTTGCAGATGGAGACGAGGCGGAGACGGCTTCCAAAAACATCCATTTACTACCAGCACTGAAGGCCCTTCAGCCGGTATTCAGAGCAAAGGTACCAGAGAAGTATTTAGTTTTTACTGAAACACAGGCTATTGTAGATTTCTCACAATTTGTAAAGGCCTTTTCCGCATGAGTAACCCATCCAGCTGCTGAGCATTTTAGTTGCTGTCTCACATCGCCTACAATGACTTAAGCCATAAACTAACACGCACGTGTCCTTTTACATCGATGTTTTAGTGCCATGTTTTTATCTTTTTAAATTCCCCCTGTGGTACTAGTAAAGGATTGTCTAATCTCATTTTCTAATAATTGATTTTCTTTTTCTACTAGATTCGTAAAGAAGGAAGAGGCAAGTACAACCCCCAGCAGCTGTGTGTGCTCGACAACATCAAAGTCAACCTGAGAAGATTCATTGGCTATCTGGAGAAGGTGGTGAAGAAATAACTATTAGACGTGTGCAATCCGTTGAATCTGTTTGCTTTGGACAGATATTTTACCGGCTCTGAAACCATCAAGTATTTATTTCATGTTGGTAGTATACCATTTGTTTTAATCCGTTTCAATGTTTATATTCTCTAAATAATGATTTAACATGATACTTTCTGATGTAAAAAGATTTGTAGAGAATCAGATATTTAGTTAGTAGTTACTACATGTTGAAGATTCTTTTTATTCTTTTTTTGAAAAATGCTCATTTGGTTGATATGCATCATTTCACCCAAAATGGTTGGAATTTGATGAAGTTCATGTACCTCAGTGACATATTTTACATCACAGGGCCCTTAAAGGAAGGATTGTAGTATCCTCTACGCGTTAAAAGTTATGGGTATTGTATAATAATTCATTCAGTTACGAAATAAACTGGCCTGCTTACAAAGAAACACAATTAAATGGACTGTAAACTCTGCATCCTACTAAGCTGAGAGGGTTTGGCATTCTCACCGTCATGGTCGTGATAACCTTCAAATCTATTAGGATGTATTTGCCTTAATAAATTTGAAAATATTCTTTACCTCTTCTACTCTGAGGGCCCTCTGCTTCCCGTCTCGGCATTCAGTTCTCATTCTACTCATCTGCATGGAGTTGTAACTTTTGCAGTGGTATTTTTGTGACTTTGTCTGCAAGTCACTAGGAAAGCCTTTTTACTGAAAGCATTCTTGTCGTGAATAGATTTGGTTTCGCCAACACCAATAACTAAGATATAATTATATTTTACAACCGTGCCGGTTTGAAATACTTAAACCCAGGATAGTGCCATCTTTTTTATCATGCTATTGCCAGCTACTGCAGTTATTGATGCAGTATGGTAAAGATTTAATAGTGACTTGCACCCACACATGCCATCTAATAAAAATGAAGATCTCAAAATGAGCCGTGTGATAATTCTTATATTTTAAGAACTAGACACAGCTTCACTGGGTTACAACGTTTCAGAGAAATTATACATCTTGCATGTAATTAAGACACATTTCAGGATTAATTTGAGGGAAATCATGTCATCAAACTGTGAATAAAGGCATTTTATGAAATAAATACTGATTTACAACTGTTTCCTTGAGTGTTTGTAACATATATATACATATTTCGATGTAATGCCAAAAGATTTGTCTCTTTGTCTTTGTAAAATGTTTAGACTTTAATAACGATTGATGCGGATAATTGTTAAAACCCCATCGCAGTTTTGTATTTCCGATTGGTATAGTTTCAAATGCACCCTAATAATAGCAAATGTTGAAAATAGTATTTAACTTTACCCTGAGTCGATAGTACAAAAAAAACAGCATCTCGAAATAAAGTAAAATGGGTTTACGTTGTAATACTTCCAACACCGTGTCAATTACTTTCATGAGAGAATAGTAAATCAGATGTTATGTAAGAAAAAAGCAATTGTGTGTTGCGTAACTACTGTCTCCCCGCCCCTTTTCACTCGCCCGGCGCATGCGCAGTTCTCCCGTACACTTCGCCATTGACGAACCCACGATCAGGGGAAAGGGTCAGAGAGGCACTTCGACAAGCAGCTGCTGCACGTTTCGCCAGTCTTCAACCCCAACTTTGGCTTGAGCTACCATTTTAAACACTTGGCTCGGTCTTGTTTTATTTCCTGTGGATAGTTACGGTTGACAGTTGCGTGTCGTCATCATTGAAGAACGATTCTTTTTTATTTTTTTTACCACATTCTCAAAGTAACGGGCGGCGGAGAACCTCAGCTAGCGGCGGCTATCACTAGGCTAGCAGGCTAACGTTAGCTAACGTTAGCTAGCGACCTGGCTAGCTGCACACGAGCTGAGCACTGCTCGGTGGGGAGGAGGGGGGGGCGGCGGCTTGCCTACAGTGTCGTTTGATGGATCCAAGAATCGCCTGGTTTCAACCAGAACAGCGTGGACCCGCGAACAACCTGTGGATGCAAATTTGGGAGACGACTCAAGGGCTCGGCTACCTGCACGTAAATAACAGCTACATCACTGGATCTCAGAACACGTCGAGCCTGAAAGCGATCGTCAACGGGGCGTCGGGTGCACTCCTCGCCGGCAGAAACGTTGCACTTGATACGAACAACACCGGCGGCGACGAAGCCAGGACTCAGACCGTGTCGTACCCGATGGCGAACCGGGAATTAACGGCACAGCGGGACTTTTTACCACTGGAAACCAACTGCAACCACCACAACAACCGAGCCGGCGGCAGGGGCGGTGTCGTCGGAGGGAGGCAGCAGGGCAGCGATGTGCTTTCGAGGTGGCCGGCTGACGGTCACCCCAACAAAAGAAAAAGAGACAACAAGGCCAGCACTTTCGGATTAAATTCTAGCCTCTTGAACGGCAGCGTCCCCGGCTCCAACACGGGAGCCTACGAGGGCTACTCGGGCACACCGTGGAAAGAAAGGACGTACTCGGAAGGAATCGTCGGGTAAGAGAGAGATAACGCTAGCTTAAAGTTCGATGTGTCCCACGCTGGCCTCCCGCAGAGGCGGGACCGTAAAACCAGGAGCGGGCGAGGTGTTATTTGCAGCGATTTTCAAACGCTCGGGGAGTGACTCGCGGGGCGACGACTGCGGTGTGTCGCTCTCACCCCACCCAAAAGTTGGATGTGCGGTCAATGAGTTGTGTAAATGAGTCCGTCCTCCAATGACCGCGCACATTTCAAGACGCTATTCCGTTTGTTCACGAGCAGATCTTAGTTTAATATTACCAAAACAGGCGTCGACTAAAACACGTTGAGCAATTAGTCATTTTGGATCGAAGATTTTAAGGAATGCGCCAAGCCCTACCAACACCTTATGTAGCTTTTCAAACAAATATCCCGGCACGAACAAACCTACAAGCATTTGTTTGTAGTGCTTTCCTTTTGAAGTTTGAACACATTTTCTTATGAAAGCATCACATAATGCCTCCGGGTATTACTGTAGAAACTGGCTACTGTTCATAGGGGTTTGCAAACCAGTCGTAGTATTAATGCGCATGTGCACAGTACACTTATTCCTCCCACTACTTTAGGCTAAGTGCATATTAGTTTGAAAATAGAGAGTCAAAAGACAGCTTTAAGGAGGTGACTGGGTGCTTCCCCAAACACGTGAGACACTTTTAATGGATTGAGTCATCTCACTGGTTTCCCTCCAGCCTCCTCACGCCCTCACATCCTCGGCTGGCTCCAATACAGGAGGAAGTTGGAATCTGCCAAAGTTGACAAACAAGCCCATTGTCAGCGGCGAGGGTCAGCACGCGGGTCAGTATGCGTGTTCCCCTCCCCAGGCCCGCAGGGGACTGAAGTGTCCCGGTACACACTCGAGTGTCATTAACGGTGCTGTGTCTGTGCACACTTTAACATACCGGACCGAATGCGCATGTGCGTCTCTTTTGTTTACCCTTTCCCCTGGGATTTGTGGACAATCACCCTGGATGAAGGCCGCTATGAAGCGATGTGGAGTTATGGAAAGTGTGGAGCTCAAAGTGTCGCTGATGGAGCCCGCAGGCACTCCAGGATGTGACAGCGTGTGTGAGTCCGTGAATGTGGAAATTCTGACTTGGCCACAGGCCCCACAGCTCAGCCTTTCCTGCTTTCTTGCCTTCCTCATCGGGCATCTGTCCATAGTTGTCGTCCGTTGTGTTTCAAAGGGCATTGTATGCATGCAAGTAGGTACACAATAACCCTTGCAGGGAGTGCACACACGAGCGTCCACAGGGAAGCTTTAACAATGATTGCCAACCAGCATGTCTGACCGACGAGGCTCTAGCAAACAGACTCCTTTGAATTATTCAACATCAATGTACTTGTTTGTATTCGGAATGACTCTAAAATGTAGTTCAGTCCTCAGCCAGGAACAGCAGTTGTGATCATCTGAAATGACAACACTCCATGTAACTGATGACCAGTTATCGCACTGGAAGATCAAAGGTCAAAGACATGTTGAATGTCAAATGTCAAAATATGGCAGAATTCACAGCTTTTCTTTTTCTAAGTCTTGCTGCAAACTATTTGCGGTCCCATTCCAAACCTTCAGGAAGAGCAGTTGAGACTTCTGCTTCACTCGGTGGGTGTGAGATTTGAGTCATTACATTTAACAGTAATAGCTCACACGGTAAAATAAACGCACCTCCTAATTTATAACTACGTCACGGACCTCTACTCTCCTTTTAGATATTATGACATGGGAGAATTATTTTGGTGGGTGGGGCTCTGTTTTGAAGACCTTTTAGGTGCAGCGCTCGGGCCCTTCCGCGGTCTCTCTGTCAGACGTGTGTAGACAAGCGGGACCGAGTGTGACGCTCGGTGTTTGGCTGATCCTCATTTATAGTAATATGGAAGCTCTCTGTTTGCACAAGACCATTCCTTGGTGATTAGCTCTGCTAATACCAGAACCAGCGCCTCAGAGCCTTGATCACACAAACTCCTCACCACACTCTGTTGCTGCACAATGCCGCCGTGATCTGTGGCGTCACCACAAATGTATTTTTGAAATGCACACCGTATTTATGTGGAAGTTTTGTCAGCTCTGCGGTGAAGTCTCCACTCGTAATGGATGTTTTGTTGCTCCGTGGGTGCGTCCTGGGTGTGGGATGTGTAGAAGAGTAACATATACGCCATTCTGCGGTTTTTAGGTGAAGATGGATACTCGTATTTCTTTGTCGTTGTTAGCAGCGTCATCAGTTGTAGCACGTCCTTGCTTTACGTTTAAAAGCATAAATGAGGTTTGATCATTCAGTCGGGTGGAGCGCTTCGGGGACTAGCGGGAATCATGGTTGGATTTAAAAGAGCCGACCCAAAGGCTGAAAATGGGAGTCTTTTGTATTGCGTTCTATTGCGAGCAGTGCGTACACTATATTTGGCAATGGGGGGGGGAGGGACGACGACAGAGGCATGTTCTCATTTGTGATTTATGTCCTCCAGTTTTTGTGGCTCACAGAGGAGCCTCGCAAAGCGGTCCGCGTCGGAAAAGGACCCGTGTTTACATTCTGCACACGGTCTCACGTCTACAAAACAAAGCCGTCCCTCAGGGAAAGCAGCCCAAGCCCCTTGAGTGTCTGTCCAATCCCATTGGGGGTTCTAAGGGAGTGTTTCCACCTCTTCTTCCTGGTGGTGTGGGACGCTTGCTGAGACACTTTATAAGGGCACAGGAAGCCAGCGTGGCCCTAGAGAGCTGCGGCCGAATTGTGTTCTGATCTGGTGGTTGTGGGTTTTCTTTACTGTGGAGGCAAGATTCAGCGCTCATGAGTTCAACTCATTTTTCTAACGGGCATTGCAGTGTAATGAATTAAGAGTAATAGAAAGGTGGATTTACTGGAACTTGGAAATCCCAAATGTTAGTCGTTTGATGGAGCAGTCAAGATGGTTCTTCATTTGGACGTATAAAAAATGTATCTGAAATGAGAAAGTCAGGACATTGTCTACTGTTAAATTATGTGTCTATATCCTTAATATTTGCTACCAGCCAAGTACATAAATATATCTTTTTTTTAATTTTTAGAGCGTCACTCGAAGGCTAATGGAGAGTGCGGCTAATCGCTCACTGATGAGTAGCCTCATCAGGCTCGTGCCTTTTCGTTTATTACCCCCTGTCTTTGGGAGATTTGTGGTACACAGATAGCACCCCTTTGTGACTGAAGCGCCATTATTAGAACGGTGGTTCCAGCCTCTCCTGGCTCTGACATCTATGCCCCTCCCTCCCCCACCCTCCCGGCCTGTGGAGGGAAAAAGCCTGCATGCCGGCCATTAGGACCTGTAGGTCAAACGGGGTCCCGCCTGAGCAGCACGTGTGGGCAGCTCTCCGTAACTCCCCATGTGTAGGGAGGAATGTCTATCCCCCCCTCTTCCTGTCCAATGGAAAGCCTTCCTGTGCTCCAGACTGATGCTGTCTGCCAGCAACACAGAGTGCTTTTTTTCATAACGTGTGTTCAGACTGTGACCTTCTCACCGGGGACAATTTCCTTTCGTTGGCATTTTTCATCCAAACTTCTTTTTGTTGTAGGTTGTTGCTTTATGATCCCCTTTTGCTTTTCTAGTGGCCAAAATGTTACGGCTTTCGTTTTGAAACGCGACCGTGGTGCCATATGCTTCTCCGTCGCAATAGTTGCCGTTCAAGCTCTGATGAAAGCTGCAAACTACTCTGAAAGATTAGCTGCTGCATTGAAGCTATTTCACATCAAAGAATACAAGAAACAAATCTCAGGCTTTTGGCTCCACTGTTTCACATTGTAAACGGTCCTTGGGCCGTTGGATATAAAGTGTCTGCACTAGTTCCTACACAGGCACCAGATCAGTTGACTGAATCACACCACTTTAACGCTGTAAATTGCACCATGGTTCATTTTATGTTGTTTTCCTTTTTGTACCATACATTTTTCAATGTTTCATCCTGTTATACGAATGCTTCCCCTATCGATTTAGTTTTAAAAACACTGGGACAATCGACAGGTGGCTGACGCTCCACCGGTGCGATACCGGTGGAGCGGTATACCAATACCAATAGTTTGCTCTGTCGCTGCGTCCGTATGGCCTGACCAAAGGGTAACTGGGTAACTTGAGCCGTTTGGTCCCCGCGGCCAACACTTGGCACCCGTGGATCAGTCCATTGATGAAACATTAATGAACATACCACCTTTCGAGACATCGACACCTCTGTGCCAGTTTAGGGCTGTCTTCAATTTGAAAGCCCGCCGTGTGGGATGCAGCGTATTTCCCCCCCTCGTTGACTTGGACACAGCAGTGTCACGCAATCGTTTTCGTTGCAATGGATGGCCGGGGCCAAAATGTACAACCCGAGAAATACGGCCGGGCCGAGATATTGGATCAGTCGTAGAGCTCTGTGTGATGTGACAATAACCCGTCTTCCCTTAATTCTACCCAGTTTGACAGATGGCTCTCGTTCACACGAAGGCATTTCAGCACCACACCCACTGCTCGCTCCCTCCCCTCTGCGTGCTCCTGTTCCACCTTCTGGCTGTTTCTGGCTCTTTACCTTTTCTAGATATTGTGATTTACTTATGCTCATTGGCTGCTTTTGGCTTTCCCACATTTCATCTTGCCGGCTTCTTTTTAGCTGCGTAAAGTCCAGATCATAATTCCAGTGCATTCACGGGGAGGCCTCGCACGACGAGGGCCTTATCTTATCGAGCTCATTGTGAAGCAATATTTCATGATACAAAAACACAATGTGTAGAGTTGCAGAGGGGGATTCAAATAGCAGCAGGGATGCACTGATCCCACCGTTTCTGTCCCGATCATTGGCAGAAAACGATGAAGCGAAAGAAAGGTGTCTGTGTATTTAATTTTATTCAAATTTGAAAATGTCTCTCACCCGTGAGCTCATTGTGTTTTCATGCCAATACTTTGCATACAAACTCACAACGTCGCCTTAAAATGCACATGCTTATTGCAAGGCTGCGACTGCTATGCATAACAAACTTATTTTCTTACACAGTAGAGAATGATTGACAGAACATCGTTTGTCTTTTTCAAGCGGAAAACAGTTGATTGATCCGGAAGCACAGATTTGTTGTTATTCTCGTGTTAAAATAAAATACCACACCGCTCTGTGTGTGTCGCCTGCTTGGCGGAGGAATGCTCGGCTCTTGTTTTGTCCTCCGTCTCAATCCCTTTGCCTCATTTCCCTGCTCTCGTTGTTCCAAGCGCTAAGGAGGTGAGAGCACATACTCTTTTATTCCCCTCTAGATTACATAATATCATAATGAAATAGGCAGGTGGGATTAACAGATAAGCAGGGCTCCGGGAGATGAAACCTGATCCAGCGAGGTGGGGCATCCGATGGGATTTCTGCAATTGCTCATACCACGTGAGGAGGAGGAGGAGGCGGCAGCCTGTTTGCTGTGAAATGAAACCTACTGGGGCGGTTGTGGAGAGAAAAATACTTGAATACATTAAAGTTAAATTGAGTTATTTTACCTCCAACCCTACATGTTGAATTGCACTTAAGATGAGGTTTCATTGTCACTGGTCTTTGGGCTGCGGCGTCTTAATGGTATTGCTACCCGAGCTGCAGAGATCTGTGCTGAAATGGAAACTTCTGTCTTGTATCTGTAATGCACTCTAGCTGTTGTTTTGTTTTACCCTAAAACGAAACCTAATGTGTTTGTGTTGGAAGCTGGCATCTTTCTAATGTGCACACGGAGAATGTTAACAGGAACTTGCAATAGACTTACACACATGTAACAACAGTGGTTTCCAAACAACTTGTTCTCCGGAATGAAGGGCGGGGCATCAAAGCGGCGGCGGCGGCGTCCCACCGTTGTGTTTGAAAACCGTAGCAAATATGAACTCTGTTTCTAGACGCTTTGAATCTTAAATCTGTGAGATTGAATGATGTCATTAACTTCCTCGAGATTAAACCCCAATTTGTGTGTGTCTTTGTGACATGTGGGAGAAATGGCCGTTTGTATACAACATGCAACACAGCCCTCCGTTTATCCGTGATTTAGTAACGTACATTTACACCGTTGATGAGTCTGTATCCACACAGGCACATTTTAATGCATCCAACTAGTCTGGAAACTAAAGCACTACAGTTATTTCTCAGCTGCATTGTCCTATCATATACTTTTTAACATCCTCACTTATAGTTTGCTAACTATACTGTTTATCTTGCAAGTGTTGATATTTATTATTAGGCAATATGCGGAAGGATTGCGTAGTTCTGACGACCCTTTTGATAACTATGTATGAACTGCTGTGTAGATTTCCTATTAAAGAGAAGCAATTTGCACACACAAGTAGCTTGTTGTGTTTTTAAACTCAATGCTTCTCTCCAGCTCAGTGTGGCTGGAATGGGGGGCTTTGCATATGTGTGTTGATGACAGAATCTGAGCATGTAGAATAAAGTTAAAACATGTATTTTTCTTTCATGGTGTTGGTTCAAAACCCCCAAATTAGGGCTGGGCGGTATGGCCAAAAATCCATATCACGCTATTTAGAAAGATTCTGATGGTGGTATGGTATTGCTTTTTTAAGTAAACACATTCATTTATTGACCCCCAAAATGACAGCTGTTCGCCGCTCGCTGGCCGGCGAGTTATCGTGTTGGCTTGTTGTGGCTGCTACTGTTGCCACCAGAGGCCCGACAGACTTTGCAATAAATCGTTTTCTGATCTAACGTAACTCAAGTCGGATTTTCCGAAAACCCTCCAAACAGACACGGCTCCTCTCTTGGGCACAAGTTGTGTTGGTGCATCTCTGGTCTCCCCTTGTTCCACCTGTATCGCTCGTTTTCGTAACAGTTACTTCTTGTTGCGAGCTGTACCCAGCATGCAGTTTGGTGGGGTCATTTTTGTAAATGTACAATTATTAGTCTTACAAGCTGGCGTGGGGTTTTACCCTGTTAAAGAGTGTTTGTGGGTTGTTCATTGCCGTTTATAACCATGGCTCAATCTCAACACACGTAAGACAAGCAGCTCCGACCGCTGGACGCTCCTCGATGACGTGTATGAATAAATTCTCCCGCCTGCCGAAGAGCAGTTATGGCGTCAACACCCGAGATTTCCGCACAGAAAACTTGTACCGGAATAGCGTTTGAAGCGGTATACCGGCCAGCCCTGCCCCGAATGCACCAATAACGGTGAAACCCGTGAGCCGTTACTGCTGTCAGGCGGCGGTTTCTTATCGCATTAAACCCAGACACCAGAGGCGTTTGTCCAAACAGCAGTTTGGTCGGCGCCGGTGGCCGCTCGTGTTTTTCTTGTCCAACTTTCTGTGGTGTACGCAGGCTTTACTTTGCTGGCTCGTTTTATTTTTAAAAAACGAAAGCATCACTTTTCCTTTCCTCTGGCAGAGGATGGCTCCTACAATTGGCCTGATTTAGCTCTTTATGGTTGTTTGCACACATGTGCTTGTGTACATGCTTGTTTGTGTTCTTTCTTTCTCGCCTACAGAGTTTGTCCCGTGTGTGTGTGTGTGTGTGTGTGTGGACGGAGCTGGTGGGTGGAAAGGTCAGCGCAAGTGGGCAGAGAGACTTGTTCCAAGGACAAAAGCGCTGCCCTCGCCTGCCTGTACTGAGATTATTTTGTTTTTTATTTTACTGACGTGACACAGCATGGCTTCCTGCCCTACTGTTTCCCCCCCAAAAGGTTTGGGATAGTGGTGAAAACACAGCTGCTTCACTTGTACAGTCTTTACATTATTAGTGACACTATTTTTGCTTATAATTAACCTGATAGACAACCCGGATCACTATTCCCACCATTCATGGTCATGAATCTACATGTACCTGGGAGAAAAGCTGATGGTGGAAATATGCAAAGAAGTGGCAATGACTCTGGGAAGCCGGGGGAAGGTTGACGTTTTGGCATTCCCCTTTGCCATATAAACCTTATAAAATCAATCGAAATAGGGATGCAACAATTTTTCAGTCTAGTTACTGGACTGGACTGTGGGGCCCGACATCGTGTTTTTAATTTAAGTGTGAGGCTTGTTGTGTGGGTGTGACTGAGCTCAATGTTTTTCGTGTAAGCTTTGTAACAAATAGATGTCCAACAAATAGATGTCCAACAAAACTACCCAGTGCATTTTATATCTGTATTAAATGATTTTACCTTGATTACCTTACAATAAAACCAGATTCCAACTCCACCTCACAACTGTGTTCTTTCATCCGCAGGTTACACGAGGAGGTCAAAGACTTCTATAAGTACATCTCCCCGCGGGCGGAGGAGGAGAAGATGAGAGCGGAGGTGGTGGAGAGAATAAAGCGAGTCATCTACGACCTGTGGCCCAGCGCTGAGGTACGCACCTTTCCCCGACGCTCACCAATGAGACTTTCTTCTTTGTGGGGGGGGGGCCCTCTTTGTTTGGATCGCAGGCCGTGACGGCCCCGATCTTTGAGTGTGGCGCTGTTAGTCTGGCTGAGAACGGCCCACGGGAGTTGGCTACAAAACCTGGGCTGTAATCTGAAAGCCACTTAGAAAACACCAGTTGTTTCGTTGCCAGGAATACGTTTGTTAAGTAGGAAAAGTGAACATGACGCCTGTTGCGCTGTGAGCGTGCGACATTTTCGCCCACGGTGACCTCCTGTGATTTGCAACGCAGTTGTCATACGAGTCAGCTGCTGTCGTGAAGCATCCCGTTGTTGGGCCGTCCTCTCAGCGCCACCTCAGGCACGCTGATGGAGCCGTGCGCTGCATAGCAGTGTTGCACAGTGTACCGGTACTAGAAAGGTACCGCGGGACCCTTGCGTATTGAATACGGTTTTGGACATTTTTAGCATCGCAGAGCGCACTCACTGTTCCATCCCTGTCAGCCTGGCAGGCGTCACCCACAGCGAGTAGCACTGCTCACCCACATACAGCCCAACACGAGTAGCCTTATCTGGTCACGATACGTCCACTTAGACGTCCTCTTTTATCCAGACGCATTTTTTAGGCAAATGTCCGGGTGCTTTATCTTGTGTTGCACTTGCTTGATGTTTGACTGTGTTTGAAAAATTGTTGACTTGCTAGTTTGTCATAAACAAAGTTAGTTTATCCGCTAGCAAGACATCCCGTTATAGCGATGTTATCAGGCCTGTAACACGCTCGGACATTGATGCTAGTATTTACTGCTCTCGCGTCGGCTTCTTTGTAATGTTCTTGTGAGCTACAGAGCAGCCAACTTTTCACTAAACCTCTGAGTGAGATGTTTTCGGGGGTGTAAGTTACGCTACGTGCAGCGAATAGCGTTACAGATGCGTCGTTTACTGTTAATGCGTGCGTCACACGTAGGGTTGCAAAGGGGCGGAAAGTATCCGGTAAATTTCCGGAAAGTTTCCACGGGAATTTTGGCTCGGGAATTGGAAAAAATAATGTGCCTAAGTTTTTTTGCAAAAGCATATGCAGGGAACGTAAATGTAGTTGAGAACAAGACTATGCACGCCTAGCTTAGCTGGACCCTGAATGCAGCTGGTTGGGAACATTGTCTGCCAGAAACATACACGTAAACCAGTGGAGATTTTAGGCTGGAATTTCTGGTGGGGCAATTTTGTATGACGTTATGTCACCGTCACAAAAATAGAGGTAGCTGATTATTATAAGCAGTAGGCCTATAGACCGGTAAAATATGGTATGGGCTGCATTTTGAGTGCCTGCAGGGCTTCAGCGGCGAGTCAGATGTTGAAGTGGACAGTGAGGAGTACATTGATGAGATCCAGGAAGAAAGCATTTAGACCTGAAAGGATTCAGGGAAAAACACTAAAAAAATAAATACAGTTAAATTACCCCAAAATTTCCAGTTTATTCCCATTAATTCCCGTGGAAAGTTTCCAACTTTGAATATTCCTGGAATTTGTAGGAACAACCCTACGTCATATTGAGCTCAGCTGTTCCCAAATGGAGCGGGAGCACCGCTGTCCCGGGCCGGCCTAGTTCTACTCCCCTTTCCCAGTTCAAGATAAGAGGACCACCTCACCCTCCACCTTGCTGTACGCTCATTCACAAACACGGCCGTGCAATCGGCTTAGCCGTGGACATGTGACCGGGCTGTAAACCCGAGTTCATACCTGCTTGATGTGCGAGGGAGGCGGTTTGAGGCAGTAACGGCAAGGTCGAGGCTTAACTTCTATTTCGGTACACCCGACAATTTGTGCATTGTACGGAGGGTTTAAGAAGTGATATTTTAGCCCCTTTACAGACTATTTTGTAGGCAAACATCATGCAAAGTTACAGCCAACTTCCACATGTGTGGAGGAGTTGCTGGATTCAATGAAGCCACTGCGGTCTTTAATCCCTCACTTTAAATGCATGCATGCGTTAAAAATACCTTTTACCTATTTTAGGTCACTTTTGCACCACGCCTACGTGGTTCGTTTGGGCTTGTCAATAAATCAGCGCTATGTGGAGCTGAGGAATAGTGATGTTTCGGGAAGCTTGGCAAACAGGTTTTTTTAGTGGTGAAGCCTGGCGTGAGAAATTCAGAGGCCAAGTCGACGCAGTGTAGGTGAGAAGATGACGATCATAAAGCCAATCCGGGCAATGTTTTGGCTGTGGTGGTTTTCTTGAACAGATGATTGAACTCACAAAGCAAACATCCCATACATGTGTAACTGTGTTTCTAATCTCTCCAGGTCCAAGTCTTTGGAAGTTTCAGCACTGGTCTTTATCTGCCAACAAGGTGAGCCACTTTTCTTGCTCCTTATCAGAAATACTTTGCTCTGAACATGGATAAAGTTTTACGTCCAGCCAGCAAATCATTATCTGCTTTTGTATTCGTGAATCAAGTGGCTTACTAATTATTAACGCTGGTTATCCCACATGTTTTTTTTTAAGACACACACACACACAGAACAAATAAATGTCAGACCTAGACAGGATCAGTAGACACTTAAATGAAGCCCAGCTGTTGGTGGATGCGTGCATGTCAAGATGACGACTCGAGTAAATCTGTTTTGCTTCTGTCACTCTGAGAAACCATTCACTTCAACTATTTATCTGTTTACTCGATAAGGCTCGTACAAACGGGACTTTGTGCTTCTATTTGTTTCTCCCAGGGATGAGTCACAATGTTAGGACCAAAGCGTTTTGTCATGCGAGGGAAATCCTAATTTCTACATCACAGTTTCTCTTTTATACATTACCATCCAAAAGTCTAAGAACAAATAAATGGAAGTATTGCGCTGCAGAATTATTGTCCAACCCATTGTCCAGTTGAAGTTGTAATGTAATCTCTCTCCTCCACCAGCGACATTGACTTGGTGGTTTTCGGGAAGTGGGGGACCCTCCCACTGTGGACGCTGGAAGAGGCTCTCCGGAAAAGGAAAATCGCAGATGAGAACTCCATCAAAGTTCTGGACAAAGCCACGGTAAGACCGCAATCAATGACGGGTGATGATTTAAATAACCGACGACAAGCGATGCTGGCAGTCATCCATCAGCATGACGCTGGCCGTTATGTTCAGGTCAAATATCAGATCGAGCCACCCGGTGTTGATGACTCCAAAAACCTGACTCAACTTGTTGACTAACCTGCCTAACGTGTGCATCATGGGGAAAGTGTTTCACTGTAGTTCTTTCCAAATTAAGGTCATATGCATTTATTGACCTGCGGCAACATACAATATTGGTTAAGTGCTCCGAATCTCCTTTTATTTTAGTTATTTTTAGACCGTTCATCTGTTCCTTTTTATTTCAGGACTTAAATAAAGCTTTTTTCCCCCTGTTTGTTTCACCTTTCACTTTTGCTGGGGATTCTAAAAGCAGATTAGCATCTCAAATCTTTGCTCAAGCAGTTTAGCGAAGGATTAGGTCAGAAAACGTGGACTTGTGTTTGATCGAGTGCGCTATTTGTCGTCCGTGTTAAAGCGGGACGTCGGGAGCCACTTGATCCAAGCATTTCAATGTGCTGATTGTCTGATCGCTGCCTCATTATCGGGACTCGTATTCCGTGTGTTCCAGGTTCCCATCATCAAACTGAGAGACTCCATCACTGACGTCAAAGTGGACATCAGCTTCAACGTGAAAAATGGTGTCGAAGCTGCCCGGCTCATCAAGGATTACAAAGAGGTAGAGCTTAAAACTCTTTTTACATTCCCAGACTTCTTCCTCTGCTCCGCCATGCACACCATCACTGATCGAAGAACCTGCACATTTTAGACTTAAAACCTCCTGTTGGTTCTCTAGAGGGCGCCAAAGGCCTCAACGCTCCTCACCACGTCCGTTGTGTGTTTTGTCCCGTAGAAATACCCCGTGCTGCCTTACCTGGTCCTGGTGCTGAAGCAGTTCCTACTGCAGAGGGACCTCAATGAGGTGTTTACCGGCGGGATTGGCTCCTACAGTGTCTTCCTCATGGCTGTCAGCTTCCTGCAGGTCAGACACACGTGGTCATTAACGATCGCTCTTAACGTTGGCGTTCTGATGGGCCTAATTGCTCTTTTGCAGCTCTGTAGTTTTATGGCTAGCCTTCTTAATTGCTGTTTTTTATGACTGTGTTTTCACCAACGGTGATCCCTGAACACTTGCTGACCTCCTTCAGCGGTTTAAAGTAACTCCACTTGCACCGTGTGTTTTCCAGCTTCACTACCGGGAGGACGTGTGCAGCCCCAACATCAACATCGGCGTCCTGCTCATCGAATTCTTCGAGCTCTACGGCCGCCACTTCAACTACCTGAAAACGGGCATCAGGATAAAAGACGGAGGCTGCTACGTTGCCAAAGACGACGTTCAGAGGAACATGGACGGATACAGGCCCTCCATGCTCTACATCGAGGACCCGCTGCAGCCGGGTACGAGCGGCGAACTCAAAAGGGCTGAAGGGAACGACTTGTGTGCGGCGCGTTGTCGGGTTCCGGTTGTTTACCGTCTCCTTTGCCTCCGCCAGATAACGACGTCGGTCGGAGTTCATACGGCGCCATGCAGGTGAAGCAGGCCTTTGACTACGCCTACGTGGTGCTCAGCCACGCCGTGTCACCCATCGCCAAGTACTATCCCAACAACGAGGCGGAGAGGTGAGATCGGGATCAGAGGCCGATGCCGCACGGCATCATGGAGAGCCACTTTATTGTTGAGATTTCTGTACCTGTATATGCATTTAAGTGCCATACCCTTTTGTGTCTATCCCATCGTAGCGTGCTCGGCCGAATAATCCGGGTAACCCAGGAAGTGGACGAGTACAGGGAATGGATCAAGAAGAACTGGGGGAGTCAGAACGACGTGCCACTCAACAGTACGTTAAGTCTTTTGTATGATTTCATTCGTAGAATATTTGAATTCCTATTGAAACTACATTCTGACTCTTGGAAGGGTGAACAGAAGGGTACAGATCTGTGTTTCCTCGTCACTTCCATCTCCCGTCAGTTTGACTTTGCACACAGTTGACTTCCGTGTCTCTTTCCACAGGAAATGACGTCACGCTGTTTGAGTCCCAGCAGCTTGATGAGCGCAACAACAACGTTCCAGACGACGACGACGACGATGACGTAGTAGTTCTACCGTCTGCCCCCCGCAGCAAAACCTCCTCCAATTCCTCCTCTCCGTCGCCCTCATTGCGCTCCTCCTCCTCTCCACTGTCGCCTTCCTCCACAACCACAACCTCCTGCTCCAGCGACGCGGTCAGTCAGCCATGCACACACAGCCGCGTGAAAAACACTGTGGCGACGATCCGATCTGTGACCTTTTTGTTTTGCTGCTTTCCTCAGGACTCTGATGGCACGCCGTGTAAGACGGCTAAGCAGCAGCAGCAGCAGCGGCAGTCCGGCCGGGGCTCCAGCGGCCACAGAGAAAAGTCCACCGTTGCCAATAACAACCGAACACAGAGCCAGGCGAACAGCACTCCGTCTGGAAGCAACAAGGGTGGCAAGGTTAGAACAAGCGTTACCTTTTTATCCCTGAATAACCCATCCACCACGTGTGTAAGATGAAGCGCAAATTGGATGACGCAACAGCGAGGCGGGTGCGGTTACAGACTGAATTTTTAAATTTATTTTCTGTCCCGCGTGTCCTCTCGACCAGGCCAGGACGTCTCGTGCCAACCATAAGAGCGGCCACCCGGGGCAGCAGAGCTCCACCCCTAGCACCAAAGCGAGCAACAAGCCGCACCACCCGGGCAACAGCAAGAAGAGGAAAAATGTGCGAGACTCTACACAGGAGGACCTCTGCAGATAGGGGTGACTTTGCCTCCCCCTCTTTCCCCCCACCCTGGTGCCCCCCCGTCTCTCTCTTCCCGTCCTCGTCTGCAACTGATTGACTGTGCTGCCGGGACTCCAGCCTCGGGAGGTTGATAAAAGAGGCTTCTAAGAAAAAACATCCACAGTATCTGTCTCGCTGTCAAAGCTTTTCGGGGTGACAAAGCAACGATTTCTTGCGGGACAAAAAAAAAAGAACAAAAAAAGAATTGTTATAGGAAATTAGGTTTAATTTCTTGAACTTTGAACTGAAATCACAATGGCTCTCACGGAGCTCATTTGCTTCTCAACGGCTTCTTTTACGGAGGGGTGTTCCTTCTTGCAGCCAGCATCTACACACATGCCTCTTGCGCCTCCTGCTGTTCAGGAATAGACATGGCCGGGATCTGGAATCGACTGCAGCAGCAATACCTGGAAAATAGGATGAGAAATTTTATCCCCCAAAAAAAGAAGAAAAAGACAAAATCGAAAAATGTTGATCTGCAGACAAACATGTACACAGATTTTCTTAAGATGGTAACATACAAATGCAATCAGTAAGAGTGGGACATAACTTATGCATGGGATTTTGTTGTTGTTGTTGGGTGATTCCTTTTTTCTGTTGGTTTGATCTGTTTTGATATGTCTCAACAGGTTATACAAAGATTTGTACAAAAAAAACACATAAGCAAAAAAAAGTTTAAAAAAAAAAGATAAGTAAAAAGAAAATGTTTTCATATGACCTTTTTACAAGATATGCCGATCGAAGACATGTAAACGTGCACATCGTGTGCCCTCAGTTTTTCTTGGCCTAAGCCAAGAGCTGGTCCGGGGGTCCCATTGCCAACATAATCATCAGCATCTACTTTTACTTCCGGTTGCTCTCTGTGTGCGCCAGTGTTAACGTCTAGCCTCCAGCGAGCCCTAATAGACGACTGGATGGAGTCTAATCCCACCCAGCTCAATAGCACAGCCACACCAGTTTAGGGACTTTAGGAGGTTTAAATTAATACGGGGAGGTTGGGGAAGGGGGGGGGGGGCTTATTGGTTTTATCGAGAAATCCTACACTTGAAAAAGAAATGTGTTAACAATACAACTGTGGGTGATGATCAGTTACTTTGGTAATTTACCCACTGCAAAATAATTTGTATTTGTTAAATGTATTTATTTTTTTATTAATTATGAGCATAATATGGATACATATAAAATTAACATTAGAGCCCATATCTTTGAGTCCTATATTTGAAGCTGCATATATTGCGAGAAGGGTCTGGTGCAAACAGTTATTTTCAGGTACAGTACAATTATCACCTTGTGTTATTTCATTGGGTTGTTTTTTGTTTTGTTTTTTTCAGTGACCGTTGAGTGACCAAGTTACTTTGAGACCATTTTACAAGTCCTACAGTGCGAAATTGTTTTAATATGTGGCTGGTCTCCTTACCTTAAAAGGGAGCTGAATTTTTTTTTTATTGTTTTATAAACTCATAGAAACAAACACTTGTTAAATATGTCAACCTCCCCTCTATCGTTGCAGTACAACCACTAACCGCTAGATGGAGTCATTGCTCTCAGTCGGAACCCACAGAGTTTGGGCTTGAATATACTGCATTTGGAAGTTTCATCTCTGCGATGTTTTTGTCATCGATTATTCCGATATTTGGACTTGATGAGCAGCTACACATAGAAGTAAAAAAAACAACAAAAAACCTTTCGAGTGCTTGCTCGAGAGAGACCCACACCAAAGCACACCACAATCCTCTCTACTACAATACAAAGTAGCCAGCAATAACCACCATCTTTCCTGATCGCTCTTATTTCCCCACATTGAGGCCCGCAGCCACGGACCGACCCGCTGACCTCTGAGCGCCCTCAGTCTTCCGTGCGAGGACGGCGAAAGCACACCTGATGAAGTCCACGCACTAACTGAAGGCCGAGTACACCTGACGCCCCGCTTCTCCCCTCTCTAAGCGTCACAGTTCGCAGGTTGTAAATGCAGTTTGTGACCGCGGGTCTTTGTGGTAGACGGAGGAAGGTAAAAAAAAAAAAACCGTGCCATTTGAATGTCCACTGACCATCTCTGTTAACTGCGGGGGGGCTTCAGACCCTTCGACCCCTCACTGTACCCACCGGAAAAACGTTGTTTATCTGCAGCTGCTACAAGTCATGCAATAAAAAAAAAGCTGTACCATTAAACTGCGGCTGGAGTCGTTCTGGTTGAATGGAAGCTGTGCGTGTGGAAAGTGTTGCAGGGAAATAAAAGGGGACGGGGAGGCGGGGGAGTGGGAGGGGCTTCTTCACCCGGAGCGGCAGCAGCGGCAGCGCGCGGACCTCAGCACGCGCTCCTTGTCTGTACCTACCGGTGCTTTTTATGCAGATTCGTTTTTTTTGTTTTTGTTTTTCCACGGGACGTTTAATCTCTCAGGTAAGCACTACAACTTTGTTTAACGGGAAGGAAAGGTCGCCCGCTTATGGCTTGGAAGATGAAACCTAAAACGCTGAAGGAAATTAATTGTTGCTTCGCTTATAACAAAAAGAAAAGACGGGTTTGTCTGCCCAGCGGTTTTTACCGCTGTCAAGAAATTTCGTTTTTTTTTTTCCTGCTGTGTGCCTTTTGGATTTCGAAGTAAAAAAAGAAAATCCACAGTTGTCCTTTTACCCGGCTGCTCTCAGTCCACTTCAAAGTTCATCAGTGGCTTTTCAATCGTCTCAACTCGATTTGACTTGACTCCGTGTGACGTTATTTCATGATTTGACGAGACTAAACTAGCTTCTACCTGATTGAGCAGAACAAAAACACGTGAAAGAACGTTGGTGTTCATTGCATCCATTCTGAGATGCGGTGCGTTTACACGCTGCCTCTGCAGTGAAAACCACATACACACAAATACTAGACTACAAAAACTAGAAGTCATGTTTCTCGTTGGGTCTTTTGTCAGAGAATTGCTCTGAGCCAAACTCTCTCATATATATATATATATATATATATATATATATATATTTATTAGACTATGACAGCAATGCCAAAGTGCTGCTCTGCGTGTCTGTCTAAAAAGCCAAATGTAACTTGTTAATCTCGATCATATCTTCCTGGAACATCATGCTCATGGACTTAGCAGGACTAGAACCTCCCAGAGTGTGTCTACCTTCTCGTTTTGGAGGCAGTGTGGTTGTCAAAAGTAACCACAAGAGACTATACATTTTGAACAATAGAAATGGTCCTTCTTGCAGCTGGCACACCGCTGGACATCTCGCCACTGACCTCTGAGACGTATCGTGAAAACAATCAAGCACAGCGTGGCTTTAGTCTGTCACTCCACACTAAAACACGCTTGACTATAATCATCTTTTGCTCACAGCGCTGAATATTTTCTCTCGGTTACCAACAATATTCCTTTGGACTGCTGTCTGTTGGATCGGGTGATTAACGTCTGTTTGGCACAGTGGCCTTTGAGAGTTTTATGGCGGTGCACATGTCATCGTCGGTTTATCTGGTTGTTGTGGAGCACCGGAGTAGAGATTATAATGGACGGAGTTAGCTGAGCAACCGTGACTTCACCAAAATGCTGAGAGGTAACAGTTTCTGGTTGATCTAATGCAAATCGATGGATTACACCACAGATTGTTGCACCTCTGATGTGGTATCGCCACGGGGGATAATATGTCGGCTAAATATTATTACCGGTCAGTGTGTGCATTTAACTCCTGTTCAAACAGCAATTCTCACATTCAAATCCCTCGCCTGGAACTTTTCACTAAATGAGCCGTGCAGTGGACTCTCCCCCTCGGGTAGTTCAAACACGGGATGGAAGGAGGCCGGGAGCTTTCTCCCGGTGGGGACCAGCGATTGCATCGCTGCACAAAGTGCCCTTTCCTCACTAGAAAATGCGCCTCTGACAACTAAAAGCTGTTTGCTGGAGTTTAATGGCCAAAGGACTGAACTCCTCGTTTGGAGTTTGCAAACAAAAAGGACTATAATGCGTGTTTACACCTGCAGCTACAACACCAGCGCACGTAAAGATGCCCAATGTGTCCACAGTGTCGTCATCTTCATAGGGATGACTGCCACGGCGTGTGTTTCTGGGTGTGTGTGCGGCCTTCATCGTTTGGATGATTGCATCACTAATCCCTTTGTCAGTCCTGCCCTACTAACTGGAGGTGGCTCATCGGGCCAGTAGCTGGTTCTCTGTCATGTGGACCGAGCTCCGTCATTTTCTTTTGTTTTCCAGACGGCAGCAAACGTGGATTATTGTTCTCTCTCTCAAAAAAAAAAGTCAAATATAAAATGCAGCATGTCTAAGCAGCTTCTGCGAACCGGTTGCAGAAAAGCGTGTGTGTGTGAGAAATGGACTCAAATAGTAACACAACATGGTTTGTCAGAAATATCTGGAATACAAAAAATGACAAATGCATGGGGTTATAAAGCAGGCGGGAGATCAAAGCGGAGCTCTGCTTTTGAGCTCCGGTGCTCATTTGTTTGGAGTATAAGAGGCCGGGGTTAAATTCCTGGTCATGGGTCAGCTGGCCGACGCCATGCGCCCTTCCACAGTGAAGCTGTCATCAGGATTGTGACACACAGGTTGCCATTTGCCAATCGGCGTGCAATTAACCATTGTGACGCCCTCGGTGTAGCTCGATTGGAAATGATGGGAAGCTTGTTGCATGTAATCAGGTTCAGTTCACAGTTTGATGGATCTGGACAGGGACGGCCTGTGAAGGGGTTGTGCGGCGTAGACGCGCGTGCACTCGCACGCACGCACACACACACGCGCACACACACAAACAAAACAAAAGAAAACCCTGTTTGGAGTGACGCTATCCTCAGTCTCTTAATAAGCGGTGGTGGAGTTGTTTTTTCCTTCGTTCTTTTCCCTCCGTCATGCAGCCTCAGCGGAGCGTGGAGGCAGCACAACGTGGCGGTTCCCAAAGTGAGGTTTGGGGACCTTCAAGGGTCCGTCAGTAAGGTCGCTCTTCTTTTCAGACTACATTTTATTTGCCTCCGCTGTTACGTCACACCGCCGTAATATAAAGTGTGATTTATTTAGAATCCCAGGGACAAGATCAATCTGATTTATTCGTGGATTTGATTTAGGAATCATCATCATCCTCCTTGCGTGCCTTGTTTGTTTACCAGGCTTTGGCCTCTATTATTTTTATTCGTTATATCTCTTCATAACGCACATTTTATTTTCTGTTACAATTTTAAACATTTTCTTCTCTGAAAGGAATCGTTTGTTCAGTTTACTTTAAATCCAAATTGTTGCTTTATTTTGACATTCAAACAAAGCAAAGACATGAAGTGTGCTTCATGTCTTTGCTTTTGTGTGCCATTGCTGGTGCGAAACACAATGCTGCTGACTTGTGCGGCTTACCTAAATGCACACACCCACACCCACCAACGCACACACACAAAGCTGCTAACACACATGCATTCAGCGCACACACCCGGTCTCGACATGTGCTCGTCAGTAACAGCGACCGTGACAGGAAGTACGAAGAACCGCCTCAGGAAATGCTTCTCTACAAGTACCTTTGTCAAAGACGACCGCGTGTGCGCATCAATGTGTTGGGGGAGGGTGTGTTTGTGTGTGTGTCTGTGTGTGTGTGTTTCACAATAAACCTTCCGAAAAAATGTTTTAGTGCTGAAGAGCGTAGAGAAATGCTGTCCGGCTCCGTTTTCTCCAAACTGCCGTGGTTACGGGCGTTCTCCGTCGCTCTCGGGCCACGTTCTCCGAGTGCCTCGAGCCCCTCGGGAAGGCTCATGATTTCACCCGTCGCTCCCCTCTCTCCCATTGTCCCTCTCATCTTTCATCCTCTCATCCACTTTGTAGCATGTAGTCTCTCTCTCTCTTTCCGTTTCTCCTCCTCGGGCCTTAACATGCGAAAGGTTCCCCTCGGTGGACAGTGTGCTAATCCTCCGAACACTCGCCGGGGACTAATCGGGCTCATTAACTCAAACTCTGGGTGCTTCCATCCTGAAATGAGCACTAATCCTTCCTCAGCACAGCCTTTGACATGCGTGTTGGAAGCACTCTCCCCCTCTCCCCCCAGCTGCCTCTTCAATGCAAATTCGAGAGAGACACGAGGCCGCGTTTGTGACGCGATAATTCATGATGCGCTTTTTGGACGACAGCTGTCACGTCAGAGTTTTTCACGTGGCCGGGATATAAATACAGGTGTCGAAAGAGAGCGACCACATCTTCAGATCGTCGGCCGCTGATTCATTTCCACCGAAATGTCTGGATTGTTTTTACACTGCTTAAGCCTGTTTGATCTATTTAAAGGGAGCCTAACCTCCCGTCAATAGCCGCTGGCCTCTGTGTGAGGATGACCTTTTCGCTTTGGTGAAGCCTCCCTCCATCCCTCACTCCCGGGACGCCCCTCGTCATTGCGCTGTGAAATCGTAGGAAACTTCCAATCCCTATTGGAGAGAAACAAATAATACGAGCCAGGACGAGTTCTCTAAAGTCACTCGAAGTTCAAAGGTCATCGAGAACCCACGTTGCCGTTTAAAGTCTGAAATGGAGTCTGTGAGCGGACTTGTTTCATTTAGTTACTGCTGCCAAAAGAGATATCTTAAATTTAATAGAAATATAACAAGCGTGGAAAGGCTGCTTTAGTGAACGTAAGCTGCTATAAGTGGTCCAACACCCGGCTTTGGTAACTGTCTATTCAAGATATTGTTACTTGATTTTTGAGGGGGTGAACAGGGCGACTCAGTGGTTGGCGTTCTTCATATTTCCGTGTGGATATCGGATCCTCTCCCTGTGTGTGTGCTTTCCTCGAGTGCACAGGATGAGGTCAAGTGGAATCTCCAAATCGCCCGTAGGTGTGGATGTACAGGATTTTGTACGAGTTAGTCCAGTGGCCCGATCCAACAGATCTCTCTCACTCACGCGTTCATTCAGCGACCCCCACACACAGAACACATATTTCGTCACTTTTAAAGCCGTCTAGACACTTTCAGTACAAAAAGGATGTACTTCGTCTTTAAGAAGATGATGGGATTTCCAGTTGGTTTTTCATCTTCTAATTCGTTATCTCTACAATACTCTATTGACACTGTAAAGTCTGATTTTCGATCCCACTTGTTCGACACAATGCAAATGCTAATGCGTCTCGCCCCGGGAGAGCTCTCGAGGGGCTGTCAGAAGGCCGTGCCCTCTTTCACGCCGCACACTGAGACGGGATGCCGCGGAGTGCCATTAGAGAGATGCCTCTTCACCCCATTGTCTGGGAAATGGTTCCATTTCCTGAAGAACCTTCCCGCCCACAGGCCCCTTTTGTAAGAAGCGCTAATTACAATCTGCCTTCTGCAGCTTGGTGAGAAAATGTCAACGCCTGCGCACACGCCAATCCAGGTTTATTTATTGCCGACGAGATCGATCAGGCGTCGGGATTGGGACGCGGCCGGGATGCACTGGG